GCCTGGTACACCAGTTGCGGCCTTTTCTGGACCGGGATGCCTTGCGCACAGTTACCCATGCTCTTGTCACCTCCCGCCTGGACTACTGTAACGCTCTCTACATGGGGCTCCCCTTGAGGAGCACTCGGAGGCTCCAGTTAGTCCAGAATGCAGCCGCGCGGGCGGTGATGGGAGCGACTCGTCGCTCACATGTAACGCCACTGCTGCGCGAGCTGCACTGGCTGCCTGTGGCCTTCCGAGTGCACTTCAAGGTGTTTATTATCATCTTTAAAGCGCACCATGGCATCGGACCTGGCTATCTCCGAGACCGCCTTCTGCCACAGATCACCTCTCACCGACTGATACGCTCCCACAGAGAGGGTCTCCTCAGGGTGCCGTCAACCAGACAGTGCCGGTTGGCGACCCCCAGGGGGAGAGCCTTCTCTGTTGGAGCTCCCACCCTCTGGAACGAGCTGCCCCCAGAGATCCGGGTGATTCTGGATCTCCCCTCCTTCCGCCGCGCCCTCAAGACATGGCTGTTTCAGCAGGCAGGACTGGCCTAGGGATATTTTATTATTGGATTTTTAATCAACTTTTAAAAATAAGAAAGGCCTATTTAAATATATTTTTAATTTGTTTTAATTTTGTATATTGTATCAATTGTTCTGTTTTTAATTGGCTGTAAGCCGCCCTGAGTCCACCAGGAGAAGGGCGGGATATAAATGCAATAAACTTAAACTTAAACTTAAGCATTGGCTTCCCCTGGTTCTAATCCTGTCAGGCATGTGTAATTGATTTTATCTTGTTATCTTTGGTCTGTCTATTGCAGACATGTCAAACCCGCGACATCACGTGACATCACGCAATGTATTGGGATGGTTTTGCCATTGCCGGCAATGGGGTGGATGTGGCTTCCGGATGACGCATCCGGCCCGCAGGCCGGCAGTTTGACACCCCTGGTCTATTGCCTCCTGCATGCTTTTCTTAATGGGCCAGCCTGCTTGAGTTATTGTTTCAGCTTTTCTGGGGTTACTCAAGTTAATGAGTGAAAAATTGTTTCTCTTCACAGCTTGAGCTCATGCCTGGCTGATTGCCTGCAGCTATTTTCTACTGGGGAAAGAGAAGAAAGACAGGAATAAAACTCTGGAGATAGTGTCTTTTATTCTTAGCAGTTTCTTTTCCCAGCTTTTGATTTATCCCTTGCGATTTTGGGCAAAAGTCAAAGGGGGGCCTTTTTGGGAAGGGTTTAGGATTTTTCCTACATTCAAAGGATGAATTGTCTGATTCTAAGGTCACTATGAAGAGGAACCTTATAAAACTATGTGAGAAGACATTTGAATAATGCAAGGGATAATGCAAACTCCAGACATGGAATAATGCCACGAGATAGAACTTGCTTGAAAACTTTCCAAAGAAAGGATCTACATGTTTTAATGGTAGGAAACATGCATCTTAATTAAAGTCTTGAAAGAAAATTCCCCAAGGTGCAAAAGATACTCCTTAGAGTAATGAAGCTACTATCTCTAAGTTAATACATTCACCTGTGCTTGCACGTACATATGTTCAGTGAAATGGCCACTGCTTTGGGAAGAAGCTGCTTTGCTTTTCATCAGATAAGATCTTGAATTTTTCTTCAAAATGCAAACTTCTCCAAAGTTTGAACTGCTTTGACCAGAAATCTGAAAAAAGAAGGAGTTGCAACAAGGATCTATTAAAGGGCAAAGAAGCATTAAGGAAAAGAGTCAGCTGTTTCTTTTTAAAGTCTTGCTGGAGGTGTTTTTTCTGAAATTTAATTTCTCTACTGTTGATTGAATCACAGAATGAAAAGAACAACTGAATGGTAAGCAAAGAGAGACTAGCCCCTTTGAAGATAATGATGTGTCTTATTCTCTATTTGGTTCTGGGGGCATTTTGAAATGTAATGTGGATCAGCAAACATTTACAAAGGGGTCATATTTTTTATTCAATATGGCATCATCCCTGCCATTTCTATAACATATAGATCACACTGTGTCTAGAATCCAGCATCTTATTTATCTTTAGGTTAAATATGTGGAAATACATTATTCAAGGAAAGAAAGAATCTTCCTATGAAGTTTAGATAAGGGGTCTTCAAACTTGGCCCTTTCAGGACTTGTGGACTTCAACTCCCAGAATTCCTCAGCCAGCGTGCCTGGCTGAGGAATTCTGGGAGTTGAAGTCCACAAGTCCTAAAAGGGCCAAGTTTGAAGACTCCCTGGTTTAGACTGAGCTATGGTTATTGAGCTGTGGGCAATGTTATGCATGTAGGTCTTACCCAGCAGCTAGGCTGCAACAAAGAGCTTTTCCCAGGTGCCTAGTTGAAATGATTGACACCTATCCTTGGTCAACAGAAAAATAGGAAGTGATTTGCCAGTCCACTCTCAGTCCTATCCAGAGTCCATTGAATCTCTTCTGTGTCATTGCTAGATGATCATGTCTCCAGTACCTGCCCCCTTTGGAAAAACATCTGCCAATCTCTGAAGTAACGCAAGAATGGAGCAGATCTACTTGCAGGAATCTATCCATTTTTTCTAGGCCTTTTCCTGTGCCCCTCACACATGTTATTATTTCAGCCTTTTGTGATATTTCATTCTCACACCATTTCATGGTTTTACCATTGCTTTGTATTGTTTTGCTTTGCTATTTGTCTGTTTACAAGACTTTTATGACCCTGCAATTGTTACTAAGTCCATGAGATATATAGACAGTATCTTTATAAGTAGGATTAAAACCATGCTTTGCCAAGATCAATAACTATAACAACCAATCAGATCAGTTGTACTTAAATGCCAAGACATAATATAATAGATTTAGCACCACTACAAGAAGGAACAACTTCTGAACCTGATCATCAACACTGCCTGTTGGAACAGCCAGGTTTTAACCACCACAGAACAAGTGCCTTACAAATCTTGGGGAAAGTGCTGACCAGAGTAGGGTGACTCCATGTTTCATACTGTATGTAGAGAAAAGTAAGATTTTACACTTAGGAAGGAAAAATCAAATTTATAGGTACAGATTAGGTGAAACCTGGCTCAATAGCAGTAACTGTGAGAGGGATCTTGGGGTTCTAGTCGACAATCACTTAAATATGAGCCAGCAGTGTGCAGCAGCTGCTCCAAAAGCCAATGCAATCCTAGGTTGCATTAACAGATAGATAGAATCAAGATCATGTAAAGTATTAATACCACTTTATAACGCCTTAGTAAGACCACATTAGAATACTGCATTCAGTTTTGGGCACCATATTATAAAAAAAGATGTAGAGACTCTGTTCCTCTTTTCTGCACTCTTTCCAAAGATGATTAAAGGCCTGGAAGCTCTGTCAGTGGAGACTTTTAAGAAGAGACTGGATAGCCACTTGTCTGTAATGGTTTAGGCGGGTCTCCTGCTTGTGCAGGGTATTGGACTAGAAGATCTCCAAGGTCCCTTCCAACTATGTTATTCTGTTATTAATAAGCTACTGTGTCTAATCCTAGGTTAGGAGACAATAACAGAACAGCGTGGATAAGCCTGATTGGAACTGGAGGGAAGGATCCTCCTTGTATCAGCCTGAAACAGCCTAGAAACTCCATTTTAATCCTACATGCTGAATCCTACTATCTCTTTTCACCCCTGACATGGGGGGCAATGTGTAACATCTTGAGGTGGCCATTGATATTATCAACGTAAGAGAAAGAGAGCACAGAAAAAATGTTGCCAGAACATATTTGGATCATAGTTAGAGGCAACTGGGGAAAGATATACTGTAAAGAATTCTATTTAGCATCAAGGTTGAGTTGCATTTCCCGAGGCTTATCTTGAAAAATAGGATAGGTATGAAGAACTAACTTCTTCAAAGAGCCTTTGAAACTTTATTTGTTTCAAATTGCTTTTACCTGAACTATTAGACTGAACTTTTGAGATAGTTTTACTAGCTAGTTTAATTATTGGATGCATTTATTAGAAAGAGAGTAAGGGTTTCTAATTGCCTTTTCTCCTCTTTGCAGCAACGTCCAGGTGGATGTGTCAAAATATACATGATTGTGGGTGTATGGTTGCAATAGAAGTTCCACCCATTTTGTCCAGTCATACCGAAGGGATAGGACTGCAGTTGTGGCACTGATCTGCCATCTGTCCCTATGGATACCCATGTTCCTTTGCTAAACAACTTCAAAAAGTACTCCAAGTTTTAATAAGCCAATTTTTTAAAAAATACTGAGATTTTTTCTTTCCAGAATCACCCCGCTGGTTTCAATATCTCCAGATAAACTGAACTAATGTTAATATACAGGGTTGTTGTGGGGAAAATAGGAGGAGAGAGGTGGATATGTTCGCTGCCTTGAATTATTTTTGAAAATAATAAAAGTGGAATATAAACAAACAAATATTACTTTAACTCTTTGAAATCTGATGCTTGTAAATCTCTTTTCTAGTTAGGTTTTGCTTTTGAAAACCTTTTCTTCTGTTTTATTTTTTGATTGCATATTTAATTGCTATAAAGTAGGCAATTAAAATAGATAGTTAAAGACAACTTTGATTCCCACAAACTCTTTTTTTTTAATTAGGTTAAATTCAAGCAATGACGGAGGGATGGGACAAGACAATATAACACTGTGGACAGAATTTGTGCTAGCTGGACTTCTCCATCAAAAATCACCGGCCGTTTTTGTTGGGGTGGTTAATTCCATGTTTGTGATTGCCCTGGTAGCAAACGGTCTTCTCCTTTTCCTTATTAAAGTTGATCCTCGGCTTCATATCCCAATGTACTTTTTCCTGAGTCAACTGTCTATCATGGACCTCTGCCAAGTTCTTGCAATTGTTCCCATGATGACCGTGAATTTTGCAATCAATAGGTACACCATTTCACTCTATGGGTGTGCTTTCCAAATTTTTGTCACCCTGACAGTGGGAGGAGCTGAATGCCTCATCCTGGCTACCATGGCCTATGACAGATATGTGGCTATCTGTAGGCCTCTGCAATATCCAGTCCTCCTAAGGAGTAAAATATGCTGTCTTATGTCACTGTGTGCCTGGTTTTGGTCTTGTGTGCAAGCGTTGGTTTGCTCTCTCTATGTCCTGCCTCTTCCTTACTGCAAGACTAATGTGATTATCCACAATTTATGTGAGTATCCAGCCCTCATACAATTGTCTTGTTCTGATAATTCTGCCTTTGAAAAGGCAGTATATCTTGGATGTTTTCTGCTTTTTCTCATCCCTACTTCAGTCATCCTTGCTTCGTATCTTGCCATCCTCTTGCAAGTTCTCAGGATGAAGTCCAGAGAAAGGAGCCACAAAGCCTTGCACACCTGCTTGTCCCACTTGTGTGTAGTGGGGTTCTTCTATGGAGCGGCCATTTTGACCTACATGACACCCATATCCTCCTATTCAGCAGAAAAAGCCCTTATTAACTCTGTGTTTACAACTATTTTCCCTCCCATGATTAACCCTTTCATATATAGCCTGAGGAACCAGGATGTTTCAGCTGCATTCCGAAAGCTCATTGCAAAATAGATCCTGGGTAAACCATATTTTATTTTTATCTATGGTATTTATATCCCACTGTCATCTTGTATTCTTGTGTGTATAGGCTGTGAGAGGAAAAATTAAAAGGTCCACTTTACGATTAAATCATTAACAAGATGAATACAAGATGAATATTATTGTTGTGATGTCTGTGGTTGTTAATTTATTTTTAACAACCACCTACGCCATACAATAAACAAAAAACAAGAGATGGTAGAGGAGTTGAAAATCACTGTAATCCTTTTTGGAATAGCTGAGTTAATAGTTTGATAGTTAAATAAACGTGCTCAGTGACTGAACAGTGCAATGTGTTGAAACCCAAGAAGTGTGCCTTCTCTGTCATAGCATCTACAGCAGGTGTCTTCAAACTTGGCCCTTTTATGACTTATGGACTTCAACTTCCAGAATTCCTCAGCCAGCTTGCCTGGCTGAGGAATTCTGGGAGTTGAAGTCCACAAGTCATAAAAGGGCCAAGTTTGAAGACACCTGATCTACAGTCTGAAATAGTATCTCCCCGAAAGATCAGTGTGATTCCGAACCTGATGGAGTTCCAGAAAGTGTTCAAAAACCAGACTATTATCCCAGGCTTTAGGATAAGATGGCAGTTGAACTTCTGTTCGGTGTGTTTGATATGGAATTTGCTTGGACCTACATATAGGTAGTCCTCATTTAGTGATCACAATTGGGACTGGCAACTACATCACTAAGTGGAACGATCCTTTTCTTTTCCCCAGTCACCAGCCCTTTGGAATGCTCAACCCAAAGTTGAGATCCAAAGTATTGGGTTCCAATTCTGCAAAACACCAGAATGATAAGGCCAATGTGAATAATAAACTCAAAAAATTAATAGACATTCAACCTTTAAGTATGAAATATACAGTACATTTATAATTTAATTGAAATATGAATCATATATACTCTTTCCTTCCTTCCTTCCTTCCTTCCTTCCTTCCTTCCTTCCTTCCTTCCTTCCTTCCTTCTTTCCTTCCTTCCTTCCTTCCTTCCTTCCTTCCTTCCTTCCTTCCTCCCTCCCTCCCTTCCTCCCTCCCTCCCTCCCTCCCTCCCTCCCTTCCTTCCTTCCTTCCTTCCTTCCTTCCTTCCTTCCAACAAGCATATATAAATGTAATTAATGTACTATGGGGAAATGGAATCACCGTCAGAGCCTACCACCCTAATGTTTTTCATGCAGGTTGCTTATTGAAAATAGAACAGTTGCTGGAATTCCTGCATAGCTACTTCCTTAATAACTCTGACTAATCAATATCTAGATAAATAGTTCTTGCATTTAACTGTTCCAGTCCAGCCACTTGCCAGAGAAGCTTGATACGATCCTATTGCCAATGTCCACGTTATCAAAGGCCCAATAATTAATTGTTTAGGAATGGAAAAATCTTGTCTTATCTGATTATGACTTTGGAGAAAGAATTTTTAAAACTGTTATTATGTATGCGCATTTGAGCATAGCCGAACTCTAAATTGGACTCCAGGGACTCATTTTTTCAGATGTAATATTCCACCTCACTCCCAAAATACATTCAGGGAGGTAGATTGTACTGAGAGATAATAAGCCAAATTGACACTTTAAAAAATGTAAATTACAAGGAGTGGTACAAACAGATTATTTAAGCATTGTGTTATTTATCCAATTTTATGCAAGTTGTGGGTACAAAATTAGGAAGTCCAAACAAATAATCACTTCCCCACCCAGAATTATCTTACAGAGGATATGGATGGCATAAAAATTAATAAATAAAAATAATTAATTAACTGATCTTTCAGAATTACCTTTGTATCAGTGCATATTTAACAAAGACTAGCTCATAATTCTTTCTTCTTACAATAACAGGGATAAATACTTGTTTAAGGCAACATACGTTTTTCAGAAATAAGATTAATAATAATAAGATTCCATTCTGTCACTGTTCTAAGATTTACAGTATATTTCCATTACATTCTACACGAGCTTAGACACAATCCAGTCAGATCAAGAAGGAATGAAAGAGAGGCTGCTTTTTGACTCTCTGCATCAAAAACTGGTCACAGTTTTTATCAGTGTGATTTTCTTCATGTTTTCATCATTCTGTTTGGAAACAGCCTCCTTTTCTTTTTAATCAAAATAGATCCAGGTTCTTTAAAAGTCTTTTTTCTTCTGTCAATTGTACATCATGGACTTCAGCCAGGACCTTGCAATTAATTGTTCCTAGGATATTTTTTTTTCATGTGTTGTGAAAAGTAGGTCTGAAGGCTTGTGGGCCGCTAATTCAGTTGAGGAACAGCTGTTGTCTGGTAAGATGGCTAATGATGGACAGCAAGAGATTGACACATTGTGTGACAGTTGTACAAAATGCGAAGTCTTTTTCAAAGGCAATCCCAGTCAAAGTGAGTTGCAATGGTCTGAGACAGGGGTCGGCAACCTTAAACACTCAAAGAGCCATTTGGACCCGTTTCCCACAAAAAAGAAAACACTGGGAGCCACAAAACCCTTTTGACATCTAAAATGAAGATAATATTGCATACATCATTTTTTTTTACCTTTATGCTATGTATAAAAAAACTATAGTGTGTTGCATTTATGAAATCAATGAACTGCTACAAAGAAAACAAATTTTTATTTCTGCATGCAACAAAAACATTTTGAACTCCCCAAAAAAAAGACACTAGGTTGAAGGTTACTTTCAAATAAAATACTATTTGAGTCCTCCTTGTATTTATGAAATAAAAAACCGAATTTAAATTATCTGCCTGCAGCAAACCCAAAATGCTGTCTGCTTCTGTGTGCCGTCATCCTTTTATTGCATTTACTGGAGTGTGCAGTCAGTTGTCAACTTGAATAAAAAAGGACTATTTCACTGAACAATGTCAAATATATATTTGCAAAATAATAGTCAATTAAAATATTTATTTTACTTGGTTAATGTGATTTTTGTTTCTCAACATCAGCACACCACATCTGCACATCAGGGCGGTAAGACGTCACCTTCATCTTCAAACAGGATTGTAAGCTGTTGTCTGTGAGGCGTGAGCGATATTTGTTTTTAATATAGTTCATGTTGAAGAAGAAGATCTGGACAGACTTGAACACTGGGCGCTATCTAACAAAATGAAATTTAGTGGTGAAAAAAGTAAGGTTCTACATTTAGGCAAGAAAAACCGAATGTACAGGTATACAGTAGTAGAGGCGGTACTTTGCTCAATAGTAGTAACTGTGAGAGGGACCTCAGAGTCTTAGAGGACAATCACTTAAATATGAGCCAGCAGTGTGCTGCAGCTGCCAAAAAAGCCAACACAGTGCTAGGCTGCATTAACAGAGGGATAGAATCAAGATCACATGAGGTATTAATACCACTTTACAATGCCTTGATAAGGCCACACTTGGAATACTCCATCCAGTTTTGGTCACCACGATGTAAAAAAGATGTTGAGACTCTAGAAAGAGTACAGAGAAGAGCAACAAAGATGATTAGGGGACTGGAGGCTAAAACATATAAGGAAAAGTTGCTGGAATTGGGTATGTTTAGTTTAATGAAGAGAAGGACGAGGGGGGACATGATAGCAGTGTTCCAATATCACAGGGGCTGCCACAAAGAAGAGGGAGTCAATTAACTCACTGTCCCCATTGTTTAGTTTAAATATTCCTTCAGAGAATCTGTGAATTTATTGCTGAGTAACGTAGTCCCTTTCTTTGATGGATGCAAACCATCTCTTTTGTACATTTTTTTCATTGGACCAGCTACAGACATCGTGACTAATATAACCAAAGCCTTCCCCTTTACACCACTCCTTTAGCCACATATTGAATTCTGCTATATGCTGGCCTTTTCCATTTTGCTCCTTATACATTGGTAAAAACTCTGAAAAAATAAGCCTCCAGCCTATCCTGCTAAGTTCCTGCCCCAAGCTCTGGAAATCATTCTGCACAGAGAGTACATCTTTTTGGGATAGATCATTAATGCCAAGATGTACAACAGCCTCCACATCACAGTCCTTGCTGGCATTCTTGACTATTTTAAAAATACGCTTCTTATCCCTACTGGCAGTAGCACCTGAAAGACACCTGACCTCTTTCGAAACCTCTGTGTTTTTTTCCTAAATTTACATCCCTTATAATTGAATCACCAACCAGAAGGTGGCTTCTCTGTCAAAAACAAGTTCTTCATCTCGGACCACGATCCCCTGCTTATTTGAGTTATCATCACAAATACCTTGACCTGTCTCCTTAATGTCCCTTAAGTCAACAAGGGCACTGTATCTGTTGTGCAGGGACACAGTGAAAGCTTTGTGTTTATGGTTCACAGCTTTCACCCTGCCAGATCCCACAGTTGTCCACACTGCCCTTCTCCTGCAGGATCTTTGTGGTAGAGGGGGATGATAGCGTGGAGGCTCAATAGAATAGAAGGGTTGAACTGGACACCTAATTTCTGCCTGAAGAGCATAGATTACAGACCCTAGATAAATAATCTGTCCTTGTAGACTAGTGATTTGTTTTTTCAGATAGGAGTTTCCAAGTTTGAAAAGAGTACTGCGAAAGACAGCTGCAAAACAAGTGTTGCACTGAACTAAGCCAGACATGCTGAGATACAAGGAATCTCAAATGCACTTGCTCTGAACGTACCACTGCTGTTTTTGATTTTTAGTTATATGATTGTAGCTCTTCCCAGCAAGCTCTGGGCAGTTTAAATGCAATGGAGGTCCAATCAGCAGGGCCTCAGCTACTTTCCTCCTCCACCCTCCTCCTTTTTAATTCACAGAATGTAAATTTGGTAGCCAATCAAAAAGTTCGGATAAGAAGTCAAAAGGAGAATTTTCTTTTTTTTTTTTCAAGATATAAATTTTATTATTTTTATCATAAAAAAAACACATCACAGGTACATCACAATGCAAAAAAAACAAAACCCCACCCCCCACCCCCCACCCCCCGGACTTCCCAAACCTTATCCCAGGATACTATTCAACTAAAAGTAAACTACTATTAATATCCCTAACTCCAC